TTTTTTTTAACTTCCATTAACACAAATTTAATTGATGAGTAAAATTTTAACAACATAGAAAATTTAACTATGAAACCAAAATAAAATTAGTATATGTTAAAAAACCCAAAAACTAAAAAAAATTTTAATATGACAACCCTTTAACAAAAAAACATAAAAATAAAATTAGTAGAACTAGGTTGTCATTACCACGATTATCTAGAGCTCTATCCTAGACCGTATACCAGTTTTCATTTTAAGTATGTTTTTCAATTTACGTTTCATAACATATAATTTTAGAGAGAACTAATATAAGACACAGAGAAGTCTAGTTTACACCAATTCAGCTAGCCAAACTTATCCAGAAGAATATGACAAATTGGTATTTCGATACGAGTTTCAAGAGACAAAACACACGAGAAAGTCTCATGTTTTGGTTTGATACTAGAATCTGATCATTTCAGTTTGTAAATGCTTTGATTTCTGTTTGCTTAAGAAAAACGATACACTTGATGTAAAAACACTTTTTTGGTTTCAATACATTATACATTCAGTTTTTTTTTTAAAAAAACTAGTATAACTAAAAATTTAAAATTATTGTAACGTAAGATCAGTGATATTAAAAAAACTGAATTATGTTAATGGAGACATTCCTGCTTGCACTATCGTTTATTAACATACAATATTCTTGCTTCCAGGATCTTGATTTATCTATCGCAGAAAAGAGGGGTCAATTTAGAAAATGGTAAAAACTAAGCGGCCAATATGTGAAGATTGATGTGACATTTTCTGCCCCCACTCAACATCCAAACCCACAATTGGCACATGATAGATAAGATAATAACCCGTTAAGATCTTTTTTTTTTTCTCTTTGATCAAAATCTTCACATGGGTTATGGTCCCTACTTGTGTATGAAGTGTAACCATTCTTCTCTGTGTTTATATATCCTTCAATAATTTTGTCCACAAGGTTCCCGACAAAAACGTTTGAATCTATAATAAACCGGTCTGATATTTATAACCAAGTTTGATCGTGATCGATTGGCATGATCATGACCAGTCTGTATTTCTTGCAGCGTTAAACAAGTTACATATTGCTTCTCAGGCTCTTGTTCAGAAGATTACAAAATGACGTAATTGTATAAGTGTCATTCTATGGTAACGTAAATCTCGGATGTATGTTAATAATCTTTTCGTAGATTGACCTAGAAAACCATAGTTTTTAAAATGTATTGTGAATGACTTTTTCGTTATGTGAAGTATAAAACTATGGACTGCCGATGGGATATCCCATTAGGGTTAGGAATGATAATTTTTAGTTTTGTAAATAAAAAACTATGGACTAACTTCTTTTAACCATTTCAGAGGTATAGTATCTGCGGCCAGGAATCCTTATCTCCACACCAGTCAACGATTCAAGTTTCATCTGCCAATCACAGAAACATTTCTCAGGAATCCCGTAGTTGGCATCTGCATATGCTCACCACAAGTCTATTTCTGGTCATTCAGATGATGTCTCGCTGTAGCTCAGCATTTTCTGTCCAAATGAAAACATTATCAAACTAAACTCCTTCAATCATTCTAAACTCATATCTCATTATTACAATTCGACAATGAATGGATGACAAGAATCAAACAGAACATCAATTTGAAAGAGGTGATATAGAGAATCAAGGAAGAAGGAAGACATAAACAACTTTAATCGCAACCAGATTTCCAATTTCTAAATCGCTTGAGTTAATTTCTAATTCGCAAATGATATTGTAAAAATAATAAAATTTATTAACCAGAGAAGAAGGAAGACAAAATTGGTTGATCTTCTTTTCTGGAATCGCAACTCTTCTCTTAAACTTTTTCTCTTCGGGCAAAATTTCTCCCTTCTAGATCGCAAATCCTCTCGTCAAAACTCCTAAGTACAATGGTTGAACAAAAAAAATTTTGGTCGAGAGGCTTTTACCCAAAATGGTTGAGAGAGAGACACTGAATGAGACACAAATTAAAGTCTCAAAAAAATAGCTAAAACTTTTGTCCAACACAAACTCGCCACGTCGCCTTAAGAGATGGGTTCTTAAACCCCTTTGCTAAGGATCGTTTCTTAGCTTTATGGGCTTTTTTATTTTAATTTTAATCCAAATTTGCATATGAATATAGGCCAAGAACTCCACATAAACCTCCAATGGAGGTGGTCTAAGAGTCGAGTTTATAAATATGACTATAGTCTTAAGGGTTTATAGACATTATACATATGTTAATAAGAAATTTTAATTAGATGGATATATATTTACCTCAACTCGCACTTTTTAAGGTTACAAATTTTTCTTGTTCTTCTTTCGCTATTTCACATCAATAAAGAAGTGGTTTTACTATTACAAGTAGAAAGATAGTTTATTTGCTTTAAAAACTTCCTTTCCTTTTCATTTGTTAACCAACTGTCGTTAACTCGACTGGTAAAAAGGCTTTTAGCAAAGTTTAGAAGTCACATGATCAAATTACGCTTGAGACGAAATTAATATTATAGGCCATGATTTCGAACCTGGAGAGATTACGGATTTTTAGCCCATAACTTTGTGGTAATTTTTTTTATAAAAAAAATCCTTTGTTAAGATCCTGTTACTGCATTTGCCCTGTTTTTGGCGTTTTCAAATGACAACTCACTCCCACGTATAGTTACTGACACAAATCAGAAACTTTTGAAAGAACAAACCATCACCCGCACACACTTGTGTGTCCTTGAGATTTTTATTTGTTTATTTCAGCTATCTTTTCAAGTTACAACAAGCAAGTTTTTCTGTGCATTCTTTTTTATAATAAGGTTTGTTTTATAACAAAACTTAAATTGATTACAATTAGACGAATATTTTATTATGTGGTTAAGTCAAACCATTCGTGTCCACATGTATATAAGCATAGAAATTGAATATTTAGCATAATCGATCGGATCTGTAATTTGATTTTCAAGAAAAGTTATGTGAGGAATTGGATAAACGAGTTTGAGATTAAAGTTGCGTATCTATATTTATTTTAAAAGTAAACAAAAGACAGCCATGTGGAATCAGGAACATAAGAGGCATGGGAAGATCAAATAATCCAGTGATGGAGCTAGGAAAAAGACTAATTCAATCATGAACCCTAAATACTTTTTTTATCTTTCTTCAATATCTTCTAATCAAAGATTCCTTTGTTTAAATGCCTCTGCAAAGTTAACTTCTCATCCAAACTCATTTCTCAACTCATCTGTTTGTTTCCCGACGAGAGCGAAAGCAAATCGGAAAATAATTTGTTTCTTCCTGCACAAGTTAACTTGCCAGGTAGTTTTTTTCTTTCCTTTTCTCTCCTGCTGTTTATCTCACTTTCCTAGAGATTTCTAGGGAAAACAAAGAGTTTAACACATTACTTGAAACGTTTCATTTTTGTCGACTGAATAGTGCTTTATGTATTTTTTATTTATTTCTCTGTTCATCTTTTAGGGTTCTTGTCAAATTTTTTGTTCTTTTTAAATTGTATATATGAATGTATATGTCATTTTCTTTCTAAGAAATTGTATGTATATCATTTTATATCGTTAGGTTGATCTTAGATATGGTAGTTGCATTTTTTAAAACTTCAACTGAATTTTGATATATAATTCTCCAATCCTAAACAAATAAAATACTGTTTTATAAAATATAATTTACAAAGCATTATTTTAATGCTTGAACGCTTGGTCTGCTCCATTTGGAATATTCCCCAACTTAATCGTTGTAAAAAATTAATATATAGATAAAGTTTTTACAGTTACCATCTACCGAGTTACCATGCAAAAAAAATACTCTTTTCATATTTTAATAAAATCATTATTATCATACAAATAGTCTGAAACTACAGGATGACAAAAAAAAAAAAAAGTCTGAAACTACAGAATTACTTAAAATCTATATATACAAAGACTTGTATGTGAAAATAACAAAAAAAAAAAAATTAATATTGACAAAAGAGTATTTTAGTTGAAGATTTCCAAATAAGATATGATCGATCGAATACGGATATGGAACTCTAGTCACCAGACAAGCCGAGAAATCGGCTCAGCTACTGTTTTTGTAACAACACTGTCCAATTTACATACCGAAAAGGCTAAAACACCCAAAAGATGCATGTGTTGTGTGGTACTGAAAACTAAAAGAAAATATTGGAACTTTACAACTTTGTGTCGTTTTCTCCAATTTTTACCCCCCGCTTCCGAAGGAATTGTCACTCTCATTATTGCATGATTTTTCTTTTTGATAAAAAATATTGCCACATTTCCAGTTCATATCTCATTTTTCTATGGCCCATAAACCATAACTCTTTGATCTCACATATTATCTAATTATATCAACCTATAACCTGCATGCATACATATATAGATATATACGTAATACATTCATTATCATGTTGGATATGTGTAGTCTATTCTTTCCCAAAAGAAGACACCAAAGAGACGAGATTCTTGCTATCCATGATAACAGTTTTAAAGATTCAAACAAATTGAGTGATTGATGAATTATTTATGCGTCAACATCTTGTAAACTTATGTATAATAAATATTAGCTTTCGTTAGAAAAAAAACTGTAGAATCTCTGGAATATCTTTTAAATTATTATTGCAATTTAGCTATATTAAAATTCTTTTATTTTAATTAAAAGCAAATGGTTTCTATGGCACTACTTTTGTAAACTTTAAATCCACGAATTTATTTTATAAACAAAAAAAAAATCAACGTCTCCATTACATTTATTTTTATGATTAACCATATGCAGCCATCATTACATTTATGCATAACCATCATTTTATTTTTTCATAACCATCATTTGTTAACATTAACATATAGAAATCAAAGCAACCATCTACTACAAAAAAAAGAACTTAGTAACGTGTCCATTTTTTAGAAATCACAAAATATTATATTTATAGCTTAGTAAAAAACTATATAATAATCTTATACATGCGTGTGGTCTCTATTTCTTTATGAATCTAACTATTTATATACATATAATTTTATTTCGGACACAATTTTGTTTACAGCTAAAAGATGGAACAAACAGAGAAACCATCGACCAAACCGTCTTCTCGGACTCTCCCTAGAGACACTCGTGGCTCTCTCGAAGTATTCAACCCGTCAACTGGCTCAACCCGACCCGATAACCCCGTGTTCCGGCCAGAACCACCAACATGGCAAAACTGGAGCGACCCACGTGGCAGTCCCCAACCTCAACCCCAACCACAAACCGAACCAGCTCCCTCTAACCCTGTTCGGTCTGAAGAGATCGCCGTCACAACCTCATGGATGGCTCTAAAAGACCCATCACCGGAGAAAATCTCCAAGAAGACGATCACAGCCGAGAAACCACAGGTTGCGGCGGTGGCGGCAGAGCAGAGAGCGGCGGAGTGGGGACTTGTTTTGAAGACAGATACAAAGACGGGAAAGCCACAGGGAGTGAGCGTGAGGAACTCGGGTGGTGCTGAGAATGATCCGAACGGGAAAAGGACTTCGCAGAGAAACTCGAGTAATTCTTGCCGGAGCTCCGGTGAGATGTCCGACGGAGATGTCGCCGGCGGGAGAGGTGGGATCCCGAGAGTATCGGAAGATTTGAAAGATGCTTTGTCCACGTTTCAACAAACGTTTGTGGTTTCGGATGCTACCAAACCCGATTACCCGATTATGTATGCTAGTGCTGGTTTCTTCAACATGACCGGTTACACTTCCAAAGAAGTCGTCGGCAGAAACTGGTAAAAATTATTATAATTTTTAAATTACATCGAATTTCTTAATTTTTTAGTTTACTACCAAAATTCTAAAGTATCAAAATGTACTATACAGTTTTGGGAAAGGTTACTAAACTTTTGTTTTTCTTTATTTATGAACCGTGGAAGTTTTGAAGCCAGGTTTTAGATATTCCGATGCAAAGATATTTTATATGATGGTTTTTTTTGAATTGGTAAAAATAATTTAGAAACCTGATCGTTATAATTTTTTAGAAGTAGTGGTATAAAAAAAAACATTTAAAATATTTGAAGGTATCTTTGAAAAAAATAAGATTTGCTTTGCAGATTCGGAAAATTAATTTATGAAGAACACATAATTTTGAGTTTTTTTGTTTTGTTTTATTGTAGCCGATTTTTACAGGGATCGGGGACAGATGCGGATGAGTTAGCGAAGATACGAGAGACATTAGCAGCTGGGAATAATTATTGTGGGCGTTTATTGAATTACAAGAAAGATGGGACCTCATTTTGGAATCTTCTCACGATTGCGCCCATTAAAGACGAGAGTGGCAAAGTCCTCAAATTTATTGGGTTAGTCCCTTACATATTTATTCCTTTTTACCGATCTCAGCCCTTTATTTATTCGTTTTCAAATGTCCACCCTTTTTTGATGGGACTTGAGTTTGTGGACCTGTGAATTGGTTGCTTTCTTCGCAATAATTCAAGGAGCTGTCATTGGCCCGATCTGATCGTCTTTGATCCAGCGACCGTTTTTCTTCATTTTCTTCATTTTTTATAAAGTTTTCTTTGGTTTAAATGAATTAATTTGGGTCAATAAAAATTGAATTAAATCATAATGAGATGAAGAATTTTAGAGTGAATTAAGATAATGATATGCTATTTTGGAAAAAAGAAGAAGATACAAAGATGTTCTGTTTGTTTTTATTTGGACTAGAATGCAAGTGGAGGTGAGCAAGCACACTGAAGGGGCCAAAGAAAAGACTTTAAGGCCCAATGGGCTTCCGGAATCATTAATTCGATATGATGGTATGTATTCTTAGTATTTATTTTTTCTACGGCAAACAATTTTATTGATTTTAAATTAGAATTATAAATTCATACAAAATATTTATTTAATTAAATTTTAAATGTTTTTTTTTGGTAACAGCCCGCCAAAAAGATATAGCGACCAACTCAGTGACTGAGCTAGTGGAGGCGGTGAAGAGACCTAGAGCCTTAAGCGAATCAACCAATCAACATCCCTTCAAGAGAAAATCGGAGACCGATGACCCTCCGGCGAAACCTGCTCGACGAATGTCTGAAAACGTCGTTCCGTCAGGCCGGAGAAATTCAGGCGGCGGGAGAAGAAACTCGATGCAGCGGATCAGCGAAGTTCCCGAGAAGAAACAAACAAAATCTTCCCGCCTTTCTTTCATGGGGTAATAATTCAGAAATCTCGGATCAGCTCCTAATTCTCACCAAATTAAGATTATTAACAACCTAACTTTTATATCAAGATTAGTTAAGTCCTTCCTTCTTTGGTATGACCGTTACGATCTTGTGGTGGTTAGGATTAAGAAGAAGAGCGCATCTCTGGACGAATCTATCGACGGGTTTATAGAGTATGGTGAAGAAGATGATGAGATTAGTGACAGAGACGAGAGACCAGAGAGTGTTGATGATAAAGTCAGACAAAAAGAGATGAGAAAGGGTATGGATCTCGCAACCACACTCGAACGTATCGAGAAGAACTTCGTCATCACTGATCCTAGGCTTCCCGACAATCCCATTGTAAGAAACACAAATACTTGAATAAAATAAAATAAAAATAAGAAGAGAAACTGTTCTGTTTCACTTTGTTTGGTCTGAAAACGTTTCTTTCGTTTCCAGATTTTTGCGTCCGATAGTTTCTTGGAGCTCACGGAATATAGCCGTGAAGAAATTCTTGGCAGAAATTGCAGGTATTTACATAAAATATGTATTTCGATCAGTTTCTTCAGTCAAGATCTGAGAACAGAGCACGTTTTGAGCTTCATTTTTTTTTCCCGGGAAAATGTGTTTAGGTTTCTGCAAGGTCCAGAGACTGATCCAACAACGGTAAAGAAGATTCGAGCGGCTATTGATAACCAAACCGAAGTGACGGTTCAGCTCATCAACTATACCAAGAGCGGTATCTATTTTTCGATATTTATAAGATTTATCCATTGGTCAATGTGTAGGGTCTTAAAACTAGAAATTGCATTCTCTGTTTCAGGGAAGAAGTTCTGGAACATTTTCCACCTGCAACCTATGCGTGATCAGAAGGTACAATGATTTGCATACTCACCTTGCGTAATGCGTCACTTTCAAGCTAATTCAAACATTACACTGTATATTAAACTTAATATATGTTCGTTGATATGTTAATGACAGGGAGAAGTCCAATACTTTATTGGAGTCCAACTAGACGGGAGCAAGCACGTTGAGCCAGTTCGCAATGTCATTGAAGAAGTTGCAGTGAAAGAGGGCGAAGAGCTGGTCAAAACCCTAATATCAAATTCTCGATGTTTTGTTGTAATCGCTTGATCAATATTTGTGAGGTTAACCCATTTTTTTTCTCGTGAATCTGAGCTCTTCAGGTGAAGAAAACAGCTGTAAATATCGATGAGGCTGTACGAGAACTTCCTGATGCCAACATGGTAAGTAATTGATTGAAGATCTGCATCTGATAATTTTAGCTTAGGGTTTATGAGGATATATCTGATTGATTGTTTTCTTGTGCCTTGTTGAAGACGCCAGAGGATTTATGGGCAAACCACTCAAAGATTGTGCATTCGAAACCTCACAGGAAAGATTCACCGTCGTGGAAAGCTATCCAAAAGGTATTAGAGAGTGGAGAACAAATTGGGTTGAAGCATTTCCGACCGGTGAAACCTTTGGGTTCTGGTGACACAGGAAGGTCAGAAACTCTCTTTGAATTATTGAAACAACTAACAAAAACCATTTTGGTTTCATCAAACTTACAAATGTCCCTTATTTGTTTCATCAGTGTCCATCTAGTGGAACTCAACGGAACAGACCAGTTGTTTGCAATGAAAGCAATGGATAAGACCGTCATGCTTAACCGTAACAAAGTAACTTCAGTACCTGTCGCAACAATAAATCTCCATCTTTTTCTTCTTTCCATATACTATTAAAGTAGCAACTGATAACAAGTTTTTGACAGGTGCATAGAGCAAGAGCTGAGAGAGAGATCCTTGATTTGCTTGACCATCCTTTTCTTCCTGCACTCTACGCTTCATTTCAGGTCGAGAAAATCTGTTTGTAAGTGTGAATAGGCATGTCCCTAAGCCTCAAGTCACTGATGTATCATGTTTCACTCTTCAGACAAAGACACATATATGTCTTATAACGGATTACTATCCAGGAGGAGAACTCTTCATGCTCCTAGATCGACAACCTAGGAAGGTTCTCAAGGAAGATGCCGTAAGGTACAAGTTTTTCTATATGGATAAAATCACAAGCTTTTTCACATTAATCGTGAAATAACAGGAAATCCTAAACAATTTTTTAGATTCTATGCTGCTCAAGTGGTCGTTGCACTCGAGTATCTTCACTGCCAAGGCAAGTTATCAACCTCATCTTTAGAATACAAAGTAAACTTGTGATGCAAGTAAGAATATGACCTATATTAATTTTTCTTTGACTCAGGGATAATTTATCGGGATTTGAAGCCGGAAAATGTATTAATTCAGGGCAACGGCGATATATCCTTGTCAGATTTTGATCTGTCTTGCTTGACATCTTGCAGACCTCAGGTTTTCTCTCAACCTTTTTAAGTTTTCCCTTATCAGATTTCTGCTATAAAGTTTGCCCATGTACTAATTAAGAGTTATCAATGTGTCTTGCAGCTTTTGATTCCGAGTATAGACGAAAAGAAGAAGAAAAAGCAGCAGAAGAGCCAACAAACTCCAATCTTTATGGCTGAACCAATGCGTGCTTCAAACTCATTTGTTGGCACTGAAGAGTATATCGCTCCGGTTAGTGTATAAGTGTGATCACTATACCGATTAAGCTATTCTTCTCTGTACTAACCGGTAACTATAATGTATCATATGGACAGGAAATCATAACGGGTGCAGGCCATACAAGTGCAGTGGACTGGTGGGCTCTTGGTATTCTAATGTACGAAATGTTGTACGGATACACTCCTTTTAGAGGAAAAACCAGACAGAAGACTTTCGCCAATGTTCTTCAGAAAGATCTGAAGTTCCCCGCTAGCATTCCTGTAATTGATCAATCTCTATTTCTTATATCAATTAATCTCATGTAAATCAGAAATATATTTAATAGGATCTGTTATGGGTGTGCAGGCAAGTCTTCAAGTGAAACAGCTAATCTTTAGGCTGTTACAACGAGATCCGAAGAAGAGATTAGGGTGTTTTGAAGGAGCAAACGAAGTCAAGAGTCATTCTTTCTTTAGAGGCATAAATTGGGCTTTAATTCGATGCACGGTAAACTTCTATACTTGCCATGTTTTACTTGCGAAAGAAGGTAATGATTAATTTTTTAGGGTTTGTTTCGATCTGCAGACTCCTCCGGAGCTTGAAACTCCGATATTTCCTGGCGAAGCTGAAAACGAAGAGAAAGTCGAAGTCATGGATCCTGGACTGGAAGATCTGCAAACAAATGTTTTCTAAGATTTGAATTAACGTTTCTTGTTTTCTTAAAAACGCTCTCAAGAACCTTTTGAAACTCTGTTGCTCCTCCCAAAGCGTCAAACGAGATGCAGTTTTTCTTCTTTTTTTTGCTTCTTTGATCACATTATCTGTCCATTTATTTTCCCAGTTGTTTCTTGCAATATGTGCCTATTTCTGTGATTTCGAATAATTTTTTTTACATGTCAATAAAATTAATCAAAATTTGTATTTGTTGATTTGTTATTTTCTTAATCTAAATCAGGTGAGGCGTGATAGGCTGGAAAATAAGAAAATATACAGATTTTATATCGATAAGTCCCGTCAAGTATATATATATTTTTTTAAACAAGTCCCGTTAAGTTATCCATTATTAATTGATCAGCGGTGTAATCATTATCGCAACCATCACCATCATTATGAAAGTAGGAATAGATCGATACATAAACTCTTCAAACTCATCACCAAACCAATGGTTAATGGAGATCAAGTGAAGATTCCTCCGGAGAAGAAGAAAACCGTTAAGAAACGCCTCATGTCTCTTAGGATTTAGTTCAATCATATATAAAAAGAATTATTTGAAATAAGACAAATCAAATATATAAAGACAAACAATAGATTTATCTTTATATAGAGTCATTTTTATTTATTTTTTGTTTGAATTATAAAAAATGAATTAATCCGTATATAAAATTATTTTATAAGCGGTTAAAACAAAATAAGATGTTTATTTAACCGTGGACATTAAATTAATATATTATTAAGGCTAATATACAAAATATTATAATATTATAATCATCAAATATAATTTATATTTTTTAATAACTGAATTTTATAATCTGTCCACAAACTATAAAAAACAGTTTTATCTTTTTTATATATACTAGATTTTGCATCCACGCTACGCGTGGATAGTTTGTTGATAAAATTTATATACAATCAATTATATTTATTAAGATATAAATTTTGTATATTAATATTTTAACAATATATTAAAATATTATGGTGTTAATATAATAATTTTTATGTAAATTGTGAAGTTTTAACGGTTTTGTTTTAAATATATATACAATATGTCATATTTCAAAAACGTATTATTTTGTCAAACACTTTTAAGTTAATATATCCAAGCCAATTAATTTTTTTTTACAAATTAATCAAATGCTACTTTTTAAACATATTATTGACATGATGGTAAAATATTATACATTAACTTCCATAAATCAAGAAGATAATTTTTTAAAATCAATTTTCACTTTTATTCCAGTTATAGATGTGTTTGTTTAAACAATTAAAAACAACTAAATTTAAAACTTAAATTTTTTCTTCTCTTGTTTAACCAATACAAATTTTTATTTTGCTATATTAATTTAAAAATAAACTAATAAATAAAATGTTTGTTTTGAGATTAATAACAAACTTTAAAATTGAAATCAAAACAATAGTTGAATATGAAATGAATAAAATCACACAGAATTTATGAATTAAATATATTTATGTCAATTGGTTGTGTAAACTTCTAAATAGTTTTTCAATGATTATACGTCATCTCTTCTAATAAGAATGAAATTGTTTTTCATTATGTTCATTATTATTATTGTTATATCTGTTTTTCAATGAATATATCATCTTCATTTAATTTAATGATTTTTAATGATTATATTCAGTTTCATCATATTCATTCTCATATTCTCTAATTATAATTAAGTAGGCAAAACTGGTACATTTTAATACATACAAATTTAGAAAAATAAAATAACTAATTGAATAACTCAAAATTAAGAACTTTTACATTAATATATTGCAATTCCAAGTCGAATATACAAAATATAATTTTTTGATCATTTTTGCATAATATATTACATGAGATTATGTGGAAATATGTTTTGCATATATTAAAAAATTTCAGATGAATATAAATAATAATTATTATTTGAAATTCTTGCTGAAAAACCTTATAATCAAGCAACCTAAGCTTGTATAAGTAGCATGTATTTTTAATTGATAAAAAAATTAAATTTGTAAGTTAGAAGAAATTTTAATATCATGTTGTTTTTTTCTGTTAATAGAGATTTCTTTATTTTTAATTTATTTTCCTAACCATAATATTAGAATTATGAAACTTTTTTAATTTACAATTTTGATATATATATAAATAAAATTTAATTTTTAAATGCTGATAAGGATGCCTTGATAATAATGTATATTTAACTGTTATGAATAATAGAATAATTTTAATTACATTTTTTCTATATTGTTTTGTATTAACAATGTAATTTTATAATTTAGAAATTTTTTTAATTTTAGTTATTAATGTGTATTAATAAAATTGATCTTTTAAATATAATGTAGATATTCTAAAGGCATATAGCTTCAAGTTTTATTTTTTTATTATAATATTTTTTGTTCACGATGTAATTTTAAAATTTAGAAATTTTTTAATTTTAAATATTGATGTTGATAAATAAAATTAAATTTTTAAATCATATGTGGACATTTTTAGCGGCATATAGCTTTAATTTTTATTAGTAATAGATTTATAAATCAAAGGTGGAAAGGCCCGTTGCGGCAAATGATTTTGGTCTCTCCTCTTTGTTTTGAGGCTTACCGAATGTATTCTAATGCTGTTTAGTCAGCTAATTGTTATATTTGTGGTTCAGGTTGAGTTGTTAAAACCCCATCAGATATTATGTTATTTCAAAAATATTCTTTGGGTACCTTAGTCTCTTTCGTCTTACTGAAGGAACATTTTCACTATTTTTAGTGCTTTGTTTTTCAAAAGTGTCGCATATCAATCACTTGACATGTTTCTCGGATTATTGAAATTTATCATTCTTTTCAAATTCGGTGGCCAAGATTTGGAGATATTACAATTTTTTTGTAATGACTCATTCTTAAATGAAACCTGACTCTATTTTTTTGTTTTTTTTTTTGAAATGGTTGAACACATAGAAAAAAACTTAAAAATTATTATAGTTATGTGATAAAAGTTTGGATGCTACTGTAAGAGTCTCTAAATATGTGTATATACATATAATTTAAATTTAAAATTTCTTATGTTAATATTATTTATTTTAGTTTTTAATATTTATTTATTGTTAATAATTTTAAAAACAATAATTAAATTGGAAACTCTTTAATTTTCAATATTGAGGTGGACCAATAAAAAAATTATATAGAATTCTTTATTCAGCAATAATATTAGAATTTGTAACTTTTCTTAATTTTCTTATTTTTTATTCAACAATAATATTAAAAATTGGAAATAATCCTTAATTTTGAATGCTAATGTGGACCAATAAAATTGTCTTTTTTAATCCTATGTGGACGCCTTGAAAAGCTTATAGCTTCAACTTTTATTAGTATAATAAGATGTAAATATAATATTCTTTAAACTTAGATTTGATATAAAATTAATTAAAATACGACAAACTATAATTAGTTTTAAACAATAAATTATAATATTTAGTAGATTAAATATACCACCTTTTTAAAAAACTAATATTTTGAATTACGAGATTTTTTTGGTGCATATTAAAAAATTAGAATCATAATTCATTTATATCGAACTAATCCGTTTACTTAACATGTTTGTACTGGATTAAAATATAAAGCTAATTATAATATGCACCGTTTAATAACACTGACTTCACCACAAACTTTTTTAATCAAAAATTAAAATTTTCATGTCAAAAATAACTAAAAAATTATATTTTTATATAATCAAATAAATATAACGAATTATAGTAAAAATATTTTACCATTTTTTTATATCATAACTTTTAGTCTTGATTTTTATACTATTTAATTGTGAATTTTGTTTTTATTTTCACGTTTTTTATTAAATATATTTTATCATATCATTTGAAACAAAAATATAAAAAATTACCATATTTTTTTAAATACAGAAATTTAATAATAAATATACTCTATTAAATAATAAACAAAGATTTTCTATATTTTTTTTCAATAGATTTGAAAGACAACTATATCCTTTCCTATTTTAATTATTCTTTGTTATTTATAATGGCATATCATGTAATAGTTTACAAAATAAAAGTTATTTTTAAATATTTACTTAAATAATAATATAGAGATTTTTCTTGTAAATCCAAAAATACATGTTTTGTAAAGTCCTGATCAAAATTTTCTAATATTCGTTCTATGATTTTAAAATAGTTGTTTAAAGAGGTGTTGTTAAATAATAAATATTTATGGACATATATAAATATTCATTGGATTTTAATGGATTTAAAATTAATGTCAACTTAAAATAAAAAGACTTCAAAATATGAATAATATCTGTTGATTTAAAAATATTAACTGAAATTCACACATTAGTTTTTGAAATCAATGTATTATACAAAAAAATCTGATATAGATTTCTAAATAAATAAAATACACAAACAAATAACGTTTTTTTCAATTTTTTTGTTTAGTTTTTGATGTGAACTATAATTATATATATATATACAGTTTTATTTATTGGTCAACCTTACATTTCTGTGCTTATTATTCTAAAAATTAACTTAGAAAAAATAAACTATTTCATTGCTTTTATGTTAGTTATATTTATGTATTTTGAGTTGAAGGAAACATGCCCGTCAAATAAGGTAATAGTATCCAACCAACTCATTCCACATCGTATTCTAAACATACATTGCCATGTTGGGAAAAATTATAACACAATGATAGATATGAAATTTGGTGAGACTAAGAACTTCACATTTATGAAGGAGACGAAGAGTGCCGTGCCTGAGGAGTTAAATTTGTTTTTTGGACCAATTGTCTTGGTTTGTTAATAGGTAAAAGCATGTTTGGTTAAAGGTTTGTATGGGTTCAACTCTTCCCAAACGTATATATGTTATTTTTTCTTCGTTTTTGCCAATTATTTGTGGGCTAAGCTGCATTTAAGAAGAGTTTTAAGGTGTTAATTTTTTTTTTCGCTTGTAGTTAGAGAAATCTCAGGCACGGCAAGAGATATACAAGAATGTTATTTACATATCTCTTGAAGGAATGGTCTAGATCTAAACACGTCAAGTATATAAAGGAGTGGAATGACCACGATGTGCTCAGACACGTTTATGGGTTGCCAAAAGTGATGGAATTTACTTTATGAAAGATAATATACCTCCGCTTGCGCATGCGCTTTACTGGTAACAAAGAAAAAAATCTATGCTTAACGTTTACGTAGATGTCTACTTTAATGCTTCATAAACCCATTTGGTCAAGTAGTTGACTAAATGATTCATTAATATTTCTATGTTAAGAGATCTGAATTTCAATTCCAGAATGTAATATTTCTGCAAATAATGGAAGCAAACTTAAGAACAAAAATTTCAACATGGTGCAATATTTCTGCAAATATTGCAGAAAAAAAATTTCTTCACCAAGAGTCGAGTTTCAATTCCAAAGGATGCAATATCTGTAAATAATGGAGGCAAATTTATAAAAACATTTTTCAACATGGTGCTAGTAGAACCATTCATCATAGTCGTGTCCATTACAGAATTATCTTTGTGGTAGTTCTCATAATTTTTATTCGTACTAAAAAAGTAATTAAACATATTTTAAATAAAATATAACCTTTTTTAATATCTATAAATATTTTATCAATGTTTCAAATAACATCACAACATTTATTTAGATAATTTTAAAGAGACACTTTTACTATATAAGTTACATTTTTACATTAGTATAATTATTTATACAAAATATCACATTTATGTATTGTATATTTTTACGTATGTTTATTTTAATTTCTATTTCTTGTTTTTTTTATGGATTATTATAACCTAATAAAGAGCTATACAAGTGGAAAATAATATTAAATTTAAATCACTCGTGAAATTAAATAAAAAAGATTGAGAATGGCATATATAATTTTTTGTTGCCACCCAAAATAAGAGAAGCCTAACATATTAGTAACATTTATTTATATATTTTAACTAGAATGTGATACGCGCACAGATATGTTAATTATTTGTTTTCTTTTTAAAATTTTTTTGTTATGTTTTGTAGTTTAATGCTTTGTCTTTGTTTGTTATAGATATATTTTTAATAATTTGTTTTTAAATTAACAAAAGTGATTGTACATTTTTTCTCTTTTTGGTTCATTGTTCATTTATGCAATTAATTATTTTTCTTAAAGTTGATTGTTTTGCGTTTGTTTGGTAAAATGGTTTGATATTTACTTAGTAAAAAACGTTAAGAGTCTCTAATGGATGCACTTTTTTATTTAATTTATACCAATTGGAGTGTGTGTAAATTATGTGTGGTAAAAAAATTTATAAACTATTTTTATTATCTAATGTTATTCTTCTTTTCTGAGTCTCATAGTTAATTGAATTCTCTTTGTGAGCTTAAGAGATATGTGTTTGTTTATCTTTTTTTGGTTTCTATTTAAAACTTTTGAAATATATGAGCATTTATGTGTTTGTTTAGTGGATGATACACATTTTTTTATCCTTATTTTTCTTTTGGCTAACAATTTTATACAATTAGTTGAGGTTTTTAAAGGGAAGATATTAACATTTTAAATGTTTTGCTGCATAAATTTTTAACTTTTATGTTTTTTGATGTAAGACCTATTTGTTAAATCCAAGTAGAATATGTTTTTAAATTATGTTTTTTGGTATAAATTCCCGATTTATCTTGAACATGTGACTTAAAATAGACATGTTCCTATTAAATTACTTATCTCCGTATTATTTTATTTTCCATTTGAAATATATTAAAAAAATTGAAAAACTACAATAAACTAAGACACAAATTATATGTTTTGTATTTTGTGTATAAGTAAAAGATGCTGAATAAAAGTGTGAAATATGATATATATTTTCTTTAATTTCTCCAAAATAATATATTAAATTTTTAAATAATTCATTTTTTAGCTAAAATATTTGTAAATAAAAATTAAAATAATCTAAATCAAATTAATAAATCATTAAATTAGCTGCAACAACACTCTAGTTAACAGTAGCCAAGCATTTTCTTGGATAATCGAGGCAACCATAAAATTTATTACCTTGACATTAAACATAACATGCTTGTACGTATCTAGTATACTGATGTAGCAGTAAATTTGGCGGTTGGCGTGAGTATTGAGTATTCTAGTATTTGTAGAATGAACTTTGATAGAAGACAGAGTGATCAAATTATAATCGAAACGCTCGAGATTGGTGCTTTGCTGGTCCGACAATGTTTATGATTTGACTGTATAAAATATAAAATCGACTGTATACTGACGTAGCAGTAAATTTGGCAGTTGGCATGAATATTGAGTATTCTAGTATTTGTAGAATGAACATTGATAGAAGATAGAGTGATCAAATTATAATCGAAACGCTCAAGCTTGGTGCTTTGCTGGTACGACAATGTTTATGATTTGAGTGTCCTTCATTATTGAAGTCTTTGTCTTGAATTATTGTATATAAGTATAGCTTAATTTGTATTTAATAAATAGACATTTTGATTTCACATACTCATATCTTAAAAAACCAATTTTGATATTTATATATTTTAATTATTAAATATAAAATTAATCATAAAATATATCAACTTTTATTTTATATTATATACTTTACCACATATACCAACAGAAATTAATTTTTAATAAATTTAAAAAATAATATGGTTAATGGGGTTGATAGCAGTAGATTTATTTTTTTGTTAAAACTAAATTCTGTAATTATTATTATGCTATTTTTTATATGTGTAAAGAAATTTATTCATTAATGAATGTAATTAAAGCAATTTGTTAAAAAAAAAAACTCGCTAAAATGATATTTAAAAAACTAATTAAAATTTGACATGTAAACAATGAGGTGACAGTATGAGAAGAGATATATATATATATATATATTTATATATTTTTTTGTATTCCAAGTATTTTATTCCATTACAAAGATGACCATCATTCATTTGATTAGAAAACTTTGACATGAGATCTTGGTTATGTATAGCTTTTATTTAAAGAACGCGAGTGGATCTAACGCGCTTAACATATTTTCTCTCTAGACAACAGCTTCGTTAATCTCGTTTGGACCTCTCCGGTCACAGGCGCTCATCGTCGATACTGCAATGGTCCCCCCCCTTCTTTTCCTTTGTGTTTGCTCTTCATGATGGATATGGTTGCGAAGTGAGGCTTGAAGACTCGACGGCTCCTTCTCCGGTGGTGCTGTGGCGTGGTTCAACCGACGCGGCGAGACGGTGCTGTGGTGGATATAACGGCGAGCGAACGAGAAGCTTTCCAGATGTTCCGGAGCTGCTTGAGGGCGCGGCGAACGAGATGTGAGAGGAACTCTGGCAGCTGGAATAGATGCTGCGGTGAAGTTGCGGATGTCGTCGCGGCGGCTAGGTGGGTTGCACTACAAGCTAAGGAAGTATCGTGGTGGTCGTCTCCGACCTATGCAGGTAAACAGTTCATCACAGCGACAGATGGATAGGTTCTCTTCCTTGTTGCTAAGAGGCTGTCTCTGTCTCCAGAGACGTACCCAAAGATATGAAGCCCGTAAGCGAACTAAAAAAAAAACTCTCATCGTCGCAAATCCATATCGTATTGAATAAATAATAACTATCATCGTTTCAATTTGTATAAAACAATAATAAAAATCATAATCTTAAAAAAAAATAACAAAATTTAAAACATAATTTTTCAGAGATAATAATTTTTTTTAACTAACTCCTTTTCGATAGATAAGATAATCTGCGACACACTAGATAAAATAACCAAGTCACTTAATATCTCCTGCTACACACTAGTTCTCACATTTTCTAAGATAAGAAAAAGATTTAGACTATCGTGAGATGAAATTATAGAGAATTATATACAATATTGCAAAAAAGTATATATTTTACTGTGAGATTTAAAATTTTTTTTTTAAAAAGTATTATATATATTAATAAGCGGCCAACTAAATTGTCATTAGTTCATTACTCTAATTTTTTATTAGTTAAAAATTAGGTCCAATATTTAACTAAAATCTATTGCTATTACCTATGCTAGTACTACTAATCTTGGGCCTTCGATTTCTTTTGTAAAAGCTGGACCCGTAGACCAATGCCTCTTATTGACTAACATAGGCACGGGCCTGTCTGTCTCTGGTTCCTTGGCCGGATTGAAGGTTCGGTTGGTATAATCAGACGCCGGTGAGTTGTTGAGGGGTTCGATTTTAGGTGGTGGTGAACTTACACTCAAATTTCGTTAAGGTGTCTCTTCTATTTAACTGTGGTTTCTTTTGACCGGCTTTGTTCTCACCAGGAGATTTCGAGTGGGGATCAGACCTCGCCGATTAGATTTGGAAGCTGAGGTCGGCTTTCGGCTGACATTGACGATCTTGCGATGTGCCCGCAAAGCTCAAATCTTATAGCCGTCGGTGAGGATGTCGATCAGCAAAAGAAACCTTTCAACTTTTTCTTCAAATTTTATCTCTCTTCTCCGACCAGCCTCATCTCGACGTCCGGTTTAGTTTGATTAATTTTACTTCGGTTATCATTTTATAAACCAGTTCCAATTTCCGGTTTGGGCGATATTTAATATAATATTATTATAAAAAAAAAAACTTTGACATGAGATTCGTGCTGCCCTAGCTAATGAATCTGCATTACTATTTGCGCTCCCATTAATCTGCATATAAGAGAACTCGGTATCAGTGGATATACTGATAATATCATTAAAATACATACCTGTTAGTATATTTTTGCATCCTGTGTCATATAATGTCCATGCAATTCCAGCTGGTTGAGACTGCGAGACCCATGAGGCATCAACGAAGCAACAGAGTTCGTTTGCATTCTGAATAGCTCCTTGTAGGGTATGGGGAACAGCTCTGTGATGCGTTGGATGATGATTCGACGTTAGAGCCTGAGTTTGAGAATCTTGCCTTTCTTGCTCCATAGCTTCCTGCCAAATTTTCTTTTGCCATGAGTGAAATTAGAGGGATTTAGAAGAGAAATTGGGATGATTCTTGCCGGTTACGCCAGAAATTTTATCGATCTGTGTCGAAAAGAAGAACTTAGAGAGTTCTAGGCGGTCGCCGTTCTTATCGCTCAGAAAGGAAGAAAGAGAAAGTCTTTTTTCGGAAATTAGAGAAGAGAGAAATACCTAAAGTTTATATATAGATATATAGATTCTTTAGTTTTTTTTCTATAATATAATTTCCAATAAACTTTGTCTCATGTTTCCAAATATTTAGTTTTTCTACTCCTATTTGAATATGTTCACTCTTTATTATATAGTACTCATATATATATATATATATATATTGATAATTGAATTTTCACAGTTTATTTGAATTAGATTTACTCATTTTTAATAATATTTGATTTTCATGTTAAAATCTATCAACATTTTAATTTTTTATCCAATTCTCCGTCATCAGAAAATGAAAACAAGTAGGGAATAATCGTAGTGGGGATATGCGTATATAGAAGGCTTAGATAGAGCTTCAAAAACATCTAAACTTCCTTCCATCATTTTGACTTTCGAATATTCTGTTCACCAGTTGAATACACCAGAGACCAACATACATTTATCTTCTTTGCAATCTTCTTTTCCACTTCAGTTATTTCATCACCAAATATCCATGTTTGTTCTCCATTTTCAAGATCTTTATAGATCCAATCAGGAAAATAAGCCTAATTAGCGTTGGAAGCAGTGGTTTCTACTATTTCTTTGTTCCTTTCTCCAACCATCTGGAGGAGATAACAAAAATGTTCTTGATAGCTCAGGAGCAACATTTCATAGCTATACACTTGAAAATAGCTCAGGTGCAATGTGTCATTGATAGTTCCTCTTGTAATTATCAATGACACATTATACGTAAAGATATTGTATACAGAAGCATACGTAAATATTGAAATAGGAGATAACAAAAATGTTCTTGATAGCTCAGGTGCAACATTTCATAGCTATACACTTGAGAATAGCTCAGATGCAATGTAACGTATAGTTCCTCTTGTAATTATCAATGACACATTATTGTTTTCTCTTTTTTCACAGAGCTTAGGAAAACCAAAGTCTGAGACTTTAGGACCAAAAAATTAATCTAACAGACAGAATATTCTGAGATTTATTGTCGAAATGCACAATTCTTGTTTTGCAGCATACGTAAAGATATTGTATACGGAAGCATACGTAAATATTGAAATAGGAGATAACAAAAATGTTCTTGATATAGATTGCAATTTTTTATTTAATAGACACAATATCTACTTCAAGAACGGAAGACAGGAAATTACAGTGAAAACAAAGATTATTTAAATTCTATTTCATTTCAGTAACCTAATATTTCAGTGTTAATTTATTGTAGACCCATTTATACTCTAACTTGGGCATTGCTTTATCATGTATAAAGTAAATCCCATTTTCTCTAGCGTCCCAAAAGTTTTTTTTACCATGACGAAGTATGAGACCACCACTTTTATATGCCATGAACTTTGCATGAAATCTGAAATCAAGTCCCTGCCATTAGTCACAACTGATCCTCGTTCCCGCAATACTATCATAAAAACTACAATCATAAGTTTTTCCAGGGCTCAAACGGTGGTAGCCGGGATCATCTTCATCGGATGTACAATGAATCCTAAGAATGTTATTTGACCAAGAGAATTCTTAAAATGTACAAAATTTTTCTTTTTGTTGGCATTACTCAACCCTATGCACAATGCAATGATAAATAGAGAACACGAGAGACGATTCACTGTTTGATTGATTGATGTGCTCTTTAGTTTCAGGAGTAATATCATATCACTGATATGTATATATAGAAAATAAATATCCTCATTTATACCGAGGTCCAGATTTATATGTAATAAAGTTGTATTGACGACAAAAAAAAATCTGTAATAAAGGTGTATATATATATATATATATATATAATACTCTGCCAATATCCAATCATACAATTAAATGATTAATATATATATATATATATATATATATAAATACATTACGAAAAGATTAATACATCTCAATTATGGAACGTATTCTAAATACTAAATATGGAGAAGAATGGTGAATTGGTGATGCTAGTGACTTTTTAGTTCGTCATCTAATAATCAATATGGATGCAAATAAATACTCACTCTCTTCTTTTAACGTCAACATCTACTACATTATTATTATCTTTTCAATTATATCTTGCTTTAAATTTTTTTTTTTTTGGTAAAATAATCTTGCTTTAAAATTTCTAAGAAATTATTATAAAATCCAATATTTTCTGAATTCTTTTTACATTTCTTGCCTTAAAGAACTGTTTCCTTACTACAAAAAGAACTGTTTTCTTTGTAGTAAGAACTGTTTTCTTACTACAAAAAGAAACAAGGAAAAGATTAGAGATGTGACTGAAAGTTCAAATATTTACGAAATAATTTTTCATAAATATTAGTTCGTCTTTAAAAGTTTCAAACAAAAGAAGAAAGAAACGACATGGTTAGTCAATTCTTCCTTTTTTAAATTGCTTTTTTTTTTTTGACGTCTTTGTATTGATTTAAAGCCCAAGCAGGCATTACAAGTTTCCAAAAAAAAGCCCATACAATTTACTTTGGCCCAATAAACCCCAAATCGTTACAACGATAAGATAATGTTTGCTGCATGAGAAACACGTGTCATACACGTGTGGGACAAAGAAAACTGAAGAGTGGCCACCGCAAATCTCGCCGGAGGGTCCGTCGATATCGAACTTCCGGTGAAAGCTTTACAAGCTCCTCCGAAAATCCGAGCAGCTAATCTTCGGAAAACGCCATCCTCTGCAAAGCAGTTCCAACTGAAGCTTGAAAATACTTCACACCACCGTAAAATTCTCCGCCGATCATCACATACACATGATCCTAAACCCATTGCCTTGAAATTCAAAGGCTTTTTATGAAGGGTTGGAAGGAGATAAAACTCCCAGTCAGGTACGATGATGCCGAAAGTAGAGGTAGAAGATTCTTCTCATCACCATAAGAACTTGGCTTTGCCGCTGCCGCATGAAAAGATGAAAAGCAAGCTCTAACAGAGGAGATCCGGTCAACTCCGGAAGATTAATCCGAAATCAGAAACTCCTTTGCTTTTATCACTAAAGAACCCAATCAAAACTTCTTCAACACACAAAGAGAACCATCGCTCAACGAGGTATATATATTACTCTTCGGGGAAGAAGAAATGATACACAGAACAAGCAAACGAAATCTGAAGTCGGAATAGAAATCCGTTCAACGGAAAATTTATTGATCTGACTAGAAGAAATATGAAACAAACAAAAGGATCTTACTAGTCAGAAGGGAAATCCGATCGAATCGGAAAACATTCCTTTTTTAAATTGCTAAATTTATTACTTTGAAGTTAACTTCAGCAAGGGATAACCCTCCACCTCACAAAAACTGTCAAATGCGAAAAAGAATCAGTTTCTGTTTTACTTGCGAAAGAAGGTAAGAGTAATATTAGGACATATGACGATGGCCTTTCCTGTGGTCGGCCACATGCCTCACTTGAAAGTCTTTCTCCTTTTTTTTTTTTTTTTTTTTTTTTTTTTTTTTCTCAAGCTTAATGTAATGATGCATCTGTTGTAAAAACAATTTTTTTTTCTCTTGAATATAATTTTACATTCAGTTAAAAAAAGGTAAAAGTAATTTTATAGAGTTATGATTCCATATGCAGACTCCTCCGGAGCTTGGAAAGTCCGATATTTTCCTGACAAAGCGGAAAACCGAAATAAAGTCAAAGTTCTGGTCCTCGTGGATCCTGGACTGGAAGATCTTTAAACAAATGTTTTCTGAAATATGATTTAGCGTTTCTTGTTTTCTTTTAAAAACGCTGTCAAGAACTTTTTGAAACTCTTCCTAAAGCTTCAACCGAGATGCCATTTTTCCTCCTGTTGCTTCTTTGATAATTATCTATTCGATTAGTTTTCCCAAATGTTTTTTGTAAGTTGTAATATGTGCTTATTTGTGTGATTTTCGAAGAATATATATTTATACTTGTCAATAAAATTAAAAAACATCTAAAAGAAGTTTTGAAGACTATGGAAAATGGTGGAAGGCGATTGTTTTAGGTAATTAGCCATGAAGAGAGCACATGTCAGACATGGAGAAGCATGAGAAGGTAAAGCAAAATTGATTTCAACAATGTGGCAATGTACTTTTAGTGAAAAAACTGTTGTGAATTTGTAAATGGGGGCGTGTAACTAAGGTAGATTTGTAAATGGTGTTGTAACGGATGCAAGAAGAAAATAGTAAACGTAAAGATCACACACAGATTTAACGTGGTTCATCAACGATGGGTTGGCTACATCCACCGACAAAAGGAGACTGATTTTATTACGGAGACAGAAAGTTTCAGAATACATCATAAATTAGGATAACATGTTTATTTATAGCATAAACCCTAGTTAACCCTAATCGCAATTGGACTCGTTCACTTAGGCCCATGTAAGAACCTTCATGCAGAAATAGCGGCCCTAATGCACGCAGACTTCTACATTGCTCATGCAGGCTGTAGTCTTCCACATCAACTTACATAGCATGTAGATCTCGACATCAGCTTTAGGATGCAGAACGTTGCACTCAACTATTTGCTCAAACAGATTGTAAGCTTCAACATACAGCGTGTAAACTTACACAAGCAACCTCAAGACGCAGCATGTAAGCTTCAACATGCTGCAAGTATCCTGCATACTTGATCACGCAGGCTGCATGCTGGATCCTGCAGCCTGTATGATTGATCGTGCAGCCTGCACGCAACTGC